AGAGAGAGAGAGAGAGAGAGAGAGAGAGAGAGAGAGAGAGAGAGAGAGAGAGAGAGAGAGAGAGAGAGAGAGAGAGGACAAAGCCCATCAGAGAGTGCCCGTTCGCCTTGAAACAGGCTGCTCTCTTGGGCCGCCGCGCGCCTGTATCAGGCCGGGGCAAGAAGACCCTCTGAGCTTGACTCTAGTTCGACCTTGGGAAACGACACAGAGGCTGCTCGTTGAAAACAAGTTGCCCCTCGCAAAAATGGGAAAAAAAAAAAGGGAAAAAAAAAAAAGAGTCACGAACCTAATCGCGACGGGGGTCCAGATGCAAGGGGTAGAAGCTTCTGGGCCCTGAATTGATAGCAGACTGTTGGATTTCAACAGTTTGCTTTACTTGGCTCTATACGGCCAGTTGAGGCTGCGTCTGGCCGGGGGTGGCGGCCAGATGCATTACCAAGGCTAGGAACTTGGTTCCCCTAGGGGAACATGAAGTTTCCCGGCCCTTGATCTTGTCTGAGATCAAGGGCCAGGCCTCACTTCGAGTATTGGCGGGGGGTAAAGCAGCTACCCACAGCCTCCAGCCGGCTATAAAACAAGCCAGCAGCTAGCCAGCCAGCATTCATTTGTGGCTGGTGCTGTTGGCATTCTACTTGGTTGAATGCTGGCTGCTGGTGTGAGGGAGCTGCTGGAAAGTGAGGTGGAGCTAAGGTGGAGGTCTGCAAGAAAGGAGGGGTAGGACTGCTGGAGGTGGCCATAGCTGTGGAACACAGCCATAGCCACCATCTCAGCAGGGTGGAGAGAGAGAGAAGTGCAGGGGGTCTACAGGGAGCATGAGAGTGAGGGCAGTCGTAGCTGCCGCTGCACTTGGTGGAGCGCAGGGGAGGTGCTGTTCGTTCAGCACGGCGACGACAACGGATTTATCATCGGTAGTGCGGAAGCACTGCCGAAATTTCGCGGCGGCGGCTATGCCTTATCAACGGTAGTGCGGAAGCGCTGCCGAAATTTTGCGGCGGCGGCATCCAGGGTTGAGAAGTGTGTAGGGGAGGTGCTATCTGCTTGGCACGACGACTATGCTTTTTCGGCGGTGACGCGGAAGCGCTGCCGAAATCTTGCAGCGACGGCAACAGGTTTGACGATGGTGGTGCGGATGTGCTGCTGAAATATTCCGGCATCGACGGTATTTTTTTTTGGCAGCGACGCGGAGGTGCTGCTGAGCTTTCGCGGCGGCAGCAATGCGTTCTAGGTGGTAGTGTGGAAGTGCTGTGCGGGTTTTGCGGTGGCAACAATGGTCTTGAGGAGCGTCATTAAGAGGGGGTGTGCTTTGAGGTGGTGTTGACGCTGTGCTATCCGCATATCGCGGCGGCGACGCCTCGACACACTGGTGGCATAGTGGCACTGGTCACAAGTGGTGATGAAGTTGAGACGCTGAGGGGATTGTGTGTCAGTGAGCTATCCTTGAGGGAGTGATGTAGATCACTTTTTTGAGAGTTTACTGTCGCGATCTTCCCACTTGGATTGTGGTTTATACGGCTTCGTGAGTAGGCTGTTTGCTATCTTTGGTTCAACTTTACTCAAGGTCAGTTAACCTGACTCAGTTTCCTTCACACTTGTGTGAACCCACACTTGCTTGACCCTGTTTTTTTGAATGTTCACTGAAGAGGTAGAGGGAATGTGTGTTTGCACGTGTAAATGGAAGACTGATATGAGTTTGGGACTGCATTGTTTTCTTTTGAACTTGTTGTTTGATCTGATGTGCAGGTAGGAAGAGGGGTGCTTGAAAAATGAAGCTGTAATCATGTCAACGAAAGTGAATGGAAGGGTGGTTGTCTTCTATTTTTTTGCTTGCATGCATGTCGAAAGGATGGGGGGACAGCAGACGACGAGGAACGGAGCGATCACACAAAAGAGAAGAAGTGAATTGGACATAGATTTTTTTCGAGGTTACCCATTCTTTCCCGAATGTCCCTCTCTGTCTATGCCCGTCTGTGTGAATGCCTTTTTCTCTGTGACCTCATCCTTCGTCTAGGTTCGCCCTTGACGTCAGGCGATATAGGGCTGACCGTCTGCCGTGGTAAGTGCATTTCCTTTCCCTAGGAGGCATCTGAGGCGGGCGTTCGTTGCCTTAGGGGTCGACCCTCTTAACGACTCGGAGTGGACCGCTTAGGCGGGGGAGTACCATGCTGTCGTGGTGGAGCCAGCTCGACTTCTGAGATCCGAGGTTCACTCGGGCGAGGACAAGGGGTATCCGTGACCACCTCCTAGGGGATGGAAGTGTGCTATTCACGGAAGGCGTTAAGTCCTTGACGGCTCACGTTAAGAAGAACCACTATAGTTTACCCTTCTAGTGGCCGTCTTAGGAGCCACAGATGAGTGAGGAGTTGGCGCCATAAGAAGCGCAGTTCGTGCGATCACTAGCTATAGACGGAGTGCGAGTAGGCACTGCCTTCGCGGATAGGGTTGCACCATGAGAAGTCCGAGCCTGGGACGGTCAGACTAGTTGACAAATAAAATGTAACTAAAACATTGCCTTGAATATCTTTATATCGCAGACTGGTATTTCATCACTCGCGAGACAGAAAAAGTTACCATTGCTCAGGAGGATAGAACGACCGAAAAAAATTGAAAGCGGATCCTTGTCTTTAATGGGGTATTGAGCGTTCGATTGTTCGAGTTGGTCGCTGACTCGTATAATGAAAGCCGGACTACTTGCGAATGACATTCACACCAAAGTTAGAGTGAGAGCATAGTCATCACTGGCGAGATGGCATCCTAGCTTTAATCGAGTATTGAGATTTGTCTGCATTCTTGTCTAGCAGTCGATATGGGGTGGAATGAAAGAACTTGGCAACGCACCTCATCAAGTTGAAAAAGCCGTGACAGCCTAGACGAGTGATATGTATGAGTGTATCAATTTCGGAAAATAATTCAGCTTACGTCGACACGAGTATTTTGCAACTTTTAATTGTCTTCAAAAGAAGGGACTAGGATTGATTGAGACGATCGGGTTCACTTTGGCGTTCAACTGCGCGTATCTATGCTACAGCGAACGAGCAAACGCCCTCGACCAACCTACCTCTGCAATTGCATTGTAAAAGGCTTTGCATGTGGGCCGGTAGCTCGGTAGGGATACGCCCCTAAGGGTGGTGACAGCCCCTTAGGGAAGGTAAGTTGTGCCCCGAGGAAACCTATCGTGTCGTAGGGGACCGTGGGATGTACAGCTGGCGCACTCGGCCGAAGCGGCAAAGGGTCGACGCGGGTTACCGTGTCCTCCCTGAGTTGTCTCTAAAAGGTTGAAAGCCTAAGTTTCTCCTGCGTGATGCGGCCGGGAGGGCCCTCGCTCACGCGGGGGCCGATGCGCTCGACAGGTGGCGCCGTTGCCGGGGATGACGGCAAACTAGCGTTGTTCCTGGTGGAACGACACTCGGGAATGGGGCAAGTAAAAAATCATGTCGTAATGGTTGTCTAAGACGAAAGGTTAGTAATCTCTGGACTTGTATAAGTGTAAGGAAGGAAGCTTAATAGATGCTACCAAACTCCTAGACTGATCTCTTGGGTTTATGTTTTGGTCCCTAGATGGCCGCTGCCGCAGGACGTCGCGACAACGACGACGATGGGAGAAATGACATTCAAGAACTGGCACGGGTCATTCGGCAGTCGCAGCGAGAGCCCTACCCCAAGATTGATGTTCCATTGTTCGATGGGAATCATGCCTCTTCTTGGGCAAACAAGTTTGAGCAACTCGGGTATAGCAACGAATGGACGGATGAGAAGATGCTTCGCATGGTTAAGAGGTACTGTCAGGTGGAGTACCGAGATGAGATCGATGAGCTGGTGCGAATCTCCCGTAATTGGCCAGATTTTAAGGCGCGGTTGCTGGAGAAGTACCAGCTCAGCGATCGGTTACTCGACCTGCGAGATTTGAGGACGGTGGATCGTAAGAAGTTTGGTACTACCAAACAATTCTTATCGGAATTTGAGCGTGTGGCTCGCCTAATCCCGGATCTGTCCGACAAAGATCGCTGCCTCATCTTCCTTGATAACTTCAATGATGTCGAACAGTCGAAATTGGTTGAAGGGATGCACGGGAGGTATGACTCGACTAAGGTCCGACAAAATGCGCTGGTGGGAAAATTCGACGATATCCTCTACCGGCTGTTGAGGCAGCAAGAGGAGGAATGGGAAAATGTGAATCTGGGAGAGGTGAAGGACGACGAGATTTACAAAACCTTGACCTGTATGAGAGAAATGATGGAAGGCGTGAAAGAGGAAAGGTTGAAGCTTCAAGTCATGTTGGCGAGCGAGAAAAAGAGTAAGAGGAAAGGGAAAGAGTCAGTGGGGGAAGAAAGCGATAGTGAGAGCGAGGAGGAAAAGGATCCGCCTCGCAAGTTGACAAAGGCGGAGAGGAAAGTCTTAAATCAAATTTGAGGCGGACAGGGGACCTCCCGTAAACAGGGGAAGAATGGTGGACAAAATAATCAAGGAGGGAATGGCAATGTTGGCGCTGGTTCGTCAGGACAAAGTTCCCAAGATCAAGGGCAGTTTCAGCCGCAGGGTGGAAGAGGCCGCGGTCGAGGCCGTGGGAACGGACAGCGAAGCCGTTGGGCGTGGCAGCAGGAAGCCACATGTAACTATTGCGCAGAAAAGGGCCATATTATGCGGTTTTGCCAACTCCTTTCAAAATATGAGGAGGAGGGAATTGTATTCATCACGATACGTGGTGGAATTTTTGATTACGAAGGGAATTTGATCGACCCCAACATTGAAAGGGGTATGAGGAAGGAGGCGTATCGCCGAATGGGTCGTCCGCTGCCGGCGACATTCCGGATTGCTTCTCCCGAAGAAGCGGGGTTGGCCGGGGTTGAGGAGGTCATGGCATCGTTACATATTGACGACTCGTCGGCAGAACCAGGAGGGTTTAGGGAAAAAGTGGTGGAACGAGCGCAAACTATCATGAGGCGGCTTGCCCGATGCCGGGACTCTATCCTCCGACTTTGCGTGGACATGGAGGAGGCCTGGCCTGGATTGCCGAATGTCTTTCTATTTGGCGAATGGGGTGATAAAAGGGAAGATGCGTCTGGTCAAGCAGGGACGTCTGCTCCGAGAGAAACATCGCAAACTGGGCCAATGGTAAGCACGATGCGACCTAGGCCTGTGCTAAAGAGAAGTGCTCCGACTTTAGCCGTGCAGACTCGGATGCGGCGACGAAATGAGCAGCTTCAGGAGGAAAGAGAGCCTGAAAAGGCGGTGGGAGAAAAACCCATCCCCGTTAGTGAGAGCGATGAGGATAACGAGGATGAGAAGTTGCGGGCCGAAGAGGAAGAACGGGCTCGTCGTCGTGCGCTGGAAAGGGAGCCGGAGAAAGGGAAGACCGAAGCAGGCGAGGAGGAACCACGAAAGAAGAAGAACATTTACTCGATCCCCGTGGAGCAGGGGGTCGATATCGAGCGGCTTGTCGATAAAATTCTAGAAAGTCAGCGCGACTTGGTCACGCTGAAGGAATTTTGGCGGTATCGCCGAAGATTCGAGAAGAGTTTAAACAGCGGATGACTCGCAAAAGAGTCATGACTGTTAAGCTCGGCGAAGTCATTCCGCCGGAGGCTAACTGGTCCCCACCTGGGACAAAGATGGATTGGCGAAGTGTGTCGACCGGCCATATTAAGGTCGAGATTGGACAACACGAGTATTCGGCACTTGTGGATGATGGAGTCGAAATAAACATCATTCGTGAGCGTCATGCCATCGAAGCTGGGTTGAAGATCAACCGAGATGACTATGGGTTTTTGGTGGGGGCTAGCGGATCGACCCCATTCTGCGGGACAGCCAGTGGCGTCCTTGTCACGTTCGGAAATGTCAAAGTCCGCTCTTATTTCTACGTGTTACCTAGAGTGGAACACGAGGTGCTTTTGGGAAGGGCGTTGCTATGTCGGTCAGAAAGCATCATCATTAACAAGCATGATGAAACCATGTTTGTAATCCTTTGCGATCCTGTCTGCGGTTATTACGAAGTGGTCAAGTGTGCGAACACTGGACCCTATTGCTCGCGGAACCGGCTGAACCCGGAATCCTATAGCTTCCCGGAGTCAGAAAAGTTGAGACGGGAGAAGGAATCGTTAGGGGAGGAGCCGAATGCTCGTGAGTTCTCGCTGACCCTGCCTGATATTGGGCAGACTATCGATTTTGTGCCGACACATGCGGCGATTGATCCAAATGTGGTGCAAGCCTTGACAGAGATCATCACGGACACCGGAAGCGTTGAAACTATGCACCTCGTTTACTCCCTGTCGGAGGGGAATAAGGGAGAAGATAAGGAATTGCCCTCCACTTGACAGCGTCCTTTTTTAGAGGACGCAGGCTTGACACCGACGCCAAACATAAGTACAAGAAAGTAGGCGTGAAGGCGAAGCCGGTACCTGTTCTGATCACTCAAGAGGAGGAAGTCTATTATCGTGAGGAGCGCGAGTGAATCAGAGAAATGAAAGAGAGAGGTGAAAAGGGGCCATGTCGGTTAACCAAAGAAAAAGTGGAAAGTATGATCATTGGGGAGGGGGACCTCCTCACTGAGCAGAAAAAAGGGTATATCATCGACATATTGAGGGAGGAACATCTCTCCTATGCGTTCGATGATGATGAGCAAGGGAGACTGGATGTCGATAAAATCCCGATGATTAGAGTTCATACTGTACCACATGAACCATGGAATGTGAGAGGGCCACGTTATCCAAATCCGGAGGATCACCGTAAAGTGGTTGCGTATCTTGATGGAAAAATCCGGACGAAAGTTGCAGATTATTCTTACGGGCCATATGCATCTCCATGGTTCTGTTTCATCAAGCCGAATGGTACCTTACGGTGGATTCAGGACCTTCAGAAGCTGAATTTGGTGACAGTGCGAGATGCAGGTAGACTCCCACATGCGGACCTACTGTCGGAGTCTTGTGCAAGAAGGTCTATCATTACCCTGATCGATTTATATTCAGGGTATGATCAATTTCCCATTTGCACTGCGAATCGGCTCAAAATGGCGATGCACAGTCCTCGTGGATTGATCCATATGTGTGTAATGTCGCAGGGATGGACGAATGCAGTTGCCAGTTCAGAGATATATGACGAGGGTTATGCTGCCTTATTGTCCTGACATAACTTCGCCATATATTGACGACTTGGCTATTCCAGGGCCTTGAACGAAAGACCTGGCGGAGGTGTTGCCGGGCATTCGCCGCTTCGTTTGGGAGCACATCAATGATGTGGTGAAAATTCTTAAGAGGTTGAAGGAGTTTAATCTCACGGCCAGTGGGATTAAGTCTCGGCATTGTATGAAGAGAGCAGTGATCTTGGGATTCCTTTGCGATGAGAAAGGTCGTCGGCCGGATGCGAAGAAAACTAATAAAATCTTGGAATGACCGACCCCCTTCAAGTCGATCACAGATGTGCAAAGCTTCCTTGGGACCTGTAGATTTTGGCGCATCTTTATCCGCAGGTTTGCCGCCAGAGTGGAGCACTTGTGAAAGCTAGTGCGCAAAGGCCAGAAGTGGGAATGGGGTCCGAAGCAACAAGAGGCCGTGGAGGATATAAAGACTGAGTTTTGTGAGGGCGGATTGATCCTTGGAGTTCCCCTTTTTGACGATGATAAAAAACATCCTTTTGTTATTGAGACTGATGCGGGGCCCACAGCCCTTGGAGGAGTTTTAGTTCAGAAGGATGCCGAGGGGCAGGAAAGGTCTCTCAGATTTGAGAGCAGGACTCTGAATGTTGCAGAGAGGAACTATTCCCAGTTCAAGAAGGAGACTTTGATCGTGCTTCACTGTTTTCATATCTTTCGGAATTATGTGTTTGGTAGGCGCTTCATCCTGCGGGTGGATCCGGCTGCATTGGCTCAATCCTTAAGGAATTATTCACCTGCTGATCCCACCATTGCACGATGGTTGACTTATATTTGGATGTTTGACTTTGAAATCGAGCGGATTTCGGGGAGTCAGAATCATGCTGATGGGTTGAGTCGGGTTGAATGGGACCCAGAGGCGGATCAGGCGGAAGAATCAGTTACAGTCGATGCATTTCTGAAGGAAAAGGAGTCGCAGTTGAGTATTAACTCCCTTACCTACCTGACTGATGCGGCTACTCGACGTGGGAAATCAATATGGAATGCTCCCACCTGTCACGAGGTACGTTCAGAGCTCGTGATGGAAGGACCTTTCATTGAGGAGGATCCATGGGGTGAGCAGACCGCAGAAGAAATGATGAGGTTGGCTTTGACCGATGACATCGACCTTATGCTTGATCCGCTAACGATTGAACAGGGTCATATGCAGACTGATGACGCTTTCCAGACCGTTGGAAGGATGTCATATATCATGAACTTGTTGGTTCATGAGGAGCGCCTGAGGTTAATGAATGCGGAGGAAGGGAGCAGTGAGGTAAAAGAAGCGTTTAAGGAAAAGGAACACGAAGGGGAATATAAGAAGATACGCATGTGGTTGAATGGGGAATTGGATGAAAACGAGGTTGATCCGGTTGTGCGGGAGAAGAGCAAAGGATTCGTTGTTCATGACGGTCATCTTTTTAAGAAAGTTGTTGATGGTCTCCCAAAGAGGGTGGTATGTGAAACTTCTCGATAGTTGGATGTGATTGCTGCTCTGCATGATGGAGTAGCCGGCGGACACAGATCTGCGTGGGTTACTCTGAACAAGATCCGACGTCTCTATTTTTGGGAAGGGATGAGCAAGATGGTGATTGATTTTTGTAAATCTTGTTTCCCTTGCCAGCAAAGGTTTAACATCCGCTACCTCGAGCCCCTGAATCCGCGTTATGTGGTGGAGCCAGGTGCGATGGTGCATTTGGATCTCTTGGTAATGCCACCTGGTATAAATGGGTACATGTATATCTTCGATGCTAGGGACAATTTGACTAGGTTCGTTCATGGTCGTGCCATTCGCGAACGTACTGGGTCAGTCTTGGCAGAGTGCATTGAGGAATATTACCTCCGTTATCCATTTGTTCAAGAGATTGTTATGGATCGAGGAGGCGAGTTTCGAGCAAACGAGGTGCAAACACTTTTAAAGACACTTGGGGTGAGTTTCAGTTATACGACGAGAGCGCATCCCCAGACCAATGCACCCGTGAAACGAGGACATGCCACCTTGTCTAACTTGTTGGCTAAATGGTGCAAGGGGGAGCCATCAAGATGGCCGATTTATTTTAGGGCAGCCTTTTTTTTTTAGAATGTTACCATCAAGCGAACAACCGGGTATGCTCCCGTCACATTATGGTTTGGACGGCATGCGACTTTTCCAATTGAGAGTTTCCTGACCACTTGGCAAAAACAGGATGTGGAAACGAAACTTTCGACGGAAGAGTTATTGAAGTTGAGCGCAAGACAGATCATGGCGAGTGAAGAGCGGATTGAAGATGCAACTGTCTCTACTTCCGAAAGCAGGCAGGCTGACAAGGAAAGATGGGACAAGAGACCACGTGTACGAAAAAAACCATTGGAAGTTAGAGACATCGTCTTGTTGTATGATATGTCGCTAGAAAAAAAGTGGTCCAGAAAATTAGACAGTTGGTGGCTGGGACCATATCGGATCACTAGGAAGACAGAACATGGGGCATACGAAATAGAAGAGTTGGATGGATCTCGGGGTAGGAATTGGGTATCGGGTGCACATTTACGGAAGTTTATCCCGAGAGTTTAGTGAAAGCTTTTAGGAAGGAAGGGTAGAGGAGGTGGTTGGTGACATCAATTTTGGTAATTCTTCTTGCTTTTGTATTGTGGTTTAGTTCGTTCTGACATTTGTCTTAGGCTAACCAAAAAAGTTGTAAAGTACTGATAAAAGTATTGAGATTGAAAAATTATCAATGGGGTTGTGGCTCCCGTTGTTTTGTAATAATGGATTTGTGCCTTACTGCCGTAGGCAATTGTAAGATGACTATGATATTTTCCTCACAATTGTCACTAAGCATAAGAGGTATTGGATACTGTTTGTAAAGTAAAAGAGTGATACCAAAGGACCTTGTGAGATTCTTATCATGATGGGATGTCCATTGCAAGAAGAATATTGTGAAATAATTGATGGATGCTTATGTTATTAAGGTATTCATCACATACACTAAGAATTGTAGGACCAAGAATTCTTATGAAACTCCGTGTATGTGGTTATGAATGCGGGATTTGTAACTACAAGTCTAAGGAGATGATATGTACTTGGGTCGTATGCCTGACTTAACATGAGTGTTATTTGTCGGACATGTGATTCAATTGCTTGCCATACCTTATGACTTGGTATTGTGTCGATTGTCATGCAATAAGGATACCTAATGTTGTGAGCCTCGTAGACGGTGGTGAGGCCTGCGCCGGAACTTTGTTCCTGGTCCATAGCGGGATGTTGTCATCCTTTCTTTCGAGGAGAATGACTACACTATCGTCGAAAGGGAGGAAGGTGGTAATATGTTTGGTGGAACCTTGCTTGTGAGGGTGACGATTACCGTTCGCCATGAGGGAAAGACTGATCACCTTTCCTTTTGTGGTGAATGGGGTCGCCTCGACTTTATGGCCGAGTCTGATCAACTTGGGTCATAAGGGAGGGGTAGTTCAACCTTGCAGGTAGGGTACTAACGGATGTATGACACTGGAATCGGAGGGAAAGTGGTGAGGCTCGAGTCTAAAGCGGGGCTTGGCGTCGAGATGTTATCCTTTTCTGGATTACACCACTCTTCGACGCATTCACAAGACATGAAGGAGATAAATCGTGCATGACAATTAAGTTGGTGTGGGAATTAGCCGGACTGGACAAGGACTTTTGAAAAGGGTGATTTCTCTCTGGGATGGTGCCGGCACATGCTGTAGTATAGTGTGAGTACCCTTGTGTTTAGTGGGGAGCCCGGGTTAGAACTCCTGGCAGCGAGAGACATGCTGAGGTGTTAGGAATGCACCCCTACGAATATGAGAGACCTATGTTAAATTCCTGGCAGTATGTGTTGTATTAATGAATTGAGAGGCCCGCAGGGGGTTAAGCCTGACGAGACCTAGACAGGGGGTTATAGCCTGAAGAGAGTCCCAACAGGGGGATAAGCCCGACCCATCTATGAGAGACGAGAAGAGAGATGACTGGCCGCCAGTGGGATGATGCTGATATCATTCTTCTAAAAGGTTCTTGTAACTCCTCAGGATGGGTAACGCCAGCGGTGGATTCCAGATTCCGGGGAAAGGTCTGTCATAGGTTATTTCTGACCCCATTCCAACTCGTGACTGAATGGAAGTGCTTTCGAAGGAAGGTTCGAAAGAATTATTAAAGGCTTTAAAGTAAGCCCTTCTCGTTGACGGTAAAGAAGTTTGCACGGAGTATTTCATAAGAAGGGTATCCAGAAAATTAGGCAAGGAAAGAAGAATGAACGGTGGAAACGTCGTTCATCACGTATAAGTATGTAAAATCTGGGTTAATTCCAGAGGTATTATGATTATGTAATATATTTGGTGAGGTCTTATAAAACTTGCCATTGTATTGTCGTATGGCAAGCGACAGGGACGTCGCTTAATGGGGGCGGGGAAGTCTGTCGTGACAAAAATCCTTGTGAAGGTTTTTGCCCGAGCTTTTCAAGGTCAGACACTGCCTGACCCTTTTTTTGAATTGAAAGACTTGATGAGATTGACGTTGCCAAAGGTATTCAGACCAACCCTATAACTGAGAAACCTAAAGTCTGACATCATTGATGTACGACGTCATTGACATACGAACGACCTCATTGACATACGACGTCGTTGACATGCGACGTCATTGACGTGTGACGGCATCGATGTTCGCTCGGAACAGCGGGAATCGGCAGTATGACCTGTCGTCCGCAGGCCCCGACAAGGCAGCAAAGATGAGCGGTCGTAGAAAGACTAAGGCCAGACTTAGCAGCCGCGCGATTCAGGGCCTAGGTAGGCAAAAAAAGAGAAGTGTGCCGGGTATGGGACCGCGGCACGGGAGGAGTAGGAAGCCTTTCTTCTGGGCCGCAGGGGTTGACACCGAGCCAGGGGGCTTCTAGGCCAATACCGAGGTCGCCCGGCCACCCGCGCATGCAAGGCCACAAGCAGGCGAGGCTTGCAGGGTCGCAGGCAGACCGGGCCTGTAAGTCTACGGGTAGGCAAAGCCTGCAAGGCCGCGGCACGGGGCTAGCTGGTTGGGCAAGCTCTTCATATAGAAGAGCTGCTCCTACCACTGTTGTGATAGCAGCTAGCCCTGTAGGTTACAACAGACAACTCTCACCCAGGAGATACCGGGATCGAACCTGACGTGCTGGCCTAGAGGGCAAAGCTCCTTTTGGAGCAGCCCAAGGCAAATGGGCGCGGCCGATCTCGGCCGTGCGATCATCAAAATCTCGCGGCTGAGATGTGCCGCGCCGAGATTAGCATGGCTCCTGCGCAAGGATGACACGCATAAATCGATAAATAGTCCAATTTTTTTTTTTGATCCCATTAGGGATCGAACGTGGATCTGTATTTCAACTGTTCGTGGAGGTACTGTGACCCCGACGTGACCGTTGGCTAGGCCAACGGAGTGCAAAAAAAAAAAAAAAAAAAAAACTTAAAACTAAAACTACACTAAGAAGAGAAAGCGCCACGTGGCGCGTAAAGAAGTGCCTGGGGCGTTTTAGCGCCAATGCACTTGACTACGCCCGACGAAACGGGCGGCCGTTTCTGCAAGAAGGTAAGTTCGTTTTTTTGTTTGTTTTTCTTTTCTCTTAGATTTTTGTTGTTCTTAGATTTTTTCTAGATTTGGTTTAGATTTTCTTTTGTTTTGTTTTATTTTTTTTGTAGATTCTTTAGTTCCTTTTTTTGTCTTATTTGGTTACGATTTTGCTGGGCACCCGTTTGTTTTGACGAACGGGTTGCTGCCGTAGGGAGGCAAAATCGAGTGGATCTGCCGCGATATCGTGGCTACGTTCGGGCGTGGGTTTTGGGACCTTGTACTCGGTTACGAGGGACTCTCTGGACGCGCCTTAGGCTGACAGCGACGGGCGACCGTAGAGAGAGAGAGAGAGAGAGAGAGAGAGAGAGAGAGAGAGAGAGAGAGAGAGAGAGAGAGAGAGAGAGAGAGAGAGAGAGAGAGAGAGAGNAGAGAGAGAGAGAGAGAGAGAGAGAGAGAGAGAGAGAGAGAGAGAGAGAGAGAGAGAGAGAGAGAGAGAGAGAGAGAGGACAAAGCCCATCAGAGAGTGCCCGTTCGCCTTGAAACAGGCTGCTCTCTTGGGCCGCCGCGCGCCTGTATCAGGCCGGGGCAAGAAGACCCTCTGAGCTTGACTCTAGTTCGACCTTGGGAAACGACACAGAGGCTGCTCGTTGAAAACAAGTTGCCCCTCGCAAAAATGGGAAAAAAAAAAAGGGAAAAAAAAAAAAGAGTCACGAACCTAATCGCGACGGGGGTCCAGATGCAAGGGGTAGAAGCTTCTGGGCCCTGAATTGATAGCAGACTGTTGGATTTCAACAGTTTGCTTTACTTGGCTCTATACGGCCAGTTGAGGCTGCGTCTGGCCGGGGGTGGCGGCCAGATGCATTACCAAGGCCAGGAACTTGGTTCCCCTAGGGGAACATGAAGTTTCTTGGCTCTTGATCTCGTCTGAGATCAAGGGTCAGGCCTCACTTCGAGTATTGGCTGGGGGTAAAGCAGCTACCCACAGCCTCCAGCCGGCTATAAAACAAGCCAGCAGCCAGCCAGCTAGCATT